GCCTGTTTCCCTGCAGACGATAACAGTCCTGCACAGCATGCCCAGGCTTTTGGCAATGCAAGCACACGTGCAGTTTGGATCTTCTTTCCCATTCCTTTTGACTAATGCGGAGGGCTTCCCAAGGCTTGGTAGAAGCATCCTCCGATTTCTTAGGGATCTTTGCATTCTTGGGAAGGTGTGCTATAGTCCCCTTACCCGAACTACGGTTAGACCCCTTGCTTGAAGCAGTCTTTTTGAAGGCGTTACATTTTTTTTCAGTATTCATGTCAGACTCAAGGGCTGATGTAGAACAGCCCACGTCGGAGTCCGGCTCTAGATCATCATCCAGAGACAGATCATCCGTATAGGACTGATCCTCAGCCTCCCGATGTTCATGCAGGGCAAGCTGGTTGCTGCTTCCGTAGCTCTCGCCAAGTCGTATGGTCTTTGAGTCCTAGCCGGGAGACATATTCTTTAGGGGCCACTCCCATGACTACATCCATGCAAGACACGTCAGTCCATCCCAGGTTTGGAGTGGTGAACAGACCAGTCAAATGCTGCTCCAAAGCCTGCATGGAAGTCCTCCACGTTTGGCCCTTGAGGGCCTCAAGTTTCAGCCTTGCCTTGAGCGCAGCGTGCTTATCTTGATACTGCGCGATGAGGAGGTCCTCAAGAGTACGTCAAGAGTCACTTTCAGCCACTCAGTCAGGTCAATCCTCTCATAACCTGCAGTAACAGCTTGGAGTTCTATGAAACTCTGTACGGCGGACTCGGTATTTGTGCCCATGATCATGCTTCGGTCTTCCTGCGGTGTTCGCGGTACCTCGAAGTACAAGCGCATGGAGCTAATCCAAGAGGTGATATCCCCCTTCCCGTCGTACTTGGACGGCAGCTTGGCCGCCCTCTTGTCCACTACGGGACCGCTGTATTGAACGCCAGTAAGGACTGCGGCGTTTTGGGCTGATGTTCCTGCATTTTTGGGACTATGAATAGTGCAGAACTGTCGGCGTTGCCGCTTGAGGAGCTGGCACCGGTTCCTGCGCTTGTCACAGTTCCACTTGCTCTCGGCATGAGGACTGTGTTAGGGTGAGAGACTGGGACTGCAGCAGGACGAGGATTAGGAGGACGGAGGGCAGACAGTTGGGACTGTTTGAGGCCGACTATCTCGGCCTGCAGTTTTTGGTTCCGCTGCTCTAGGGCTGTCACACGGGACTCAAGATCTTCCAAGGTCTGCAGTTGAACCAAGGCTGCTACGACAACAACTAACTTCTCTTGGAACCGGTCATCATTCGATTCCGGAACCGCAAGGAGGGCCACTTGTTCAACAATACTTGTGGCTCTGGCTGCTGCCCCTGCCTCCCTCTCTTTGTGTATTGCGTCCTCATAAAGTTTTTGAAAGAAAGGTTTCTCGTTCTCGGTCGCTGCGTCCAGCATGGCCTTCCATTGCTCGGACGTGATGTCTGCCATGCCGGAAGATAGGGTGTCAGTAGATCTCTCAAGAGGGGTCCGCACTTTGCTCACTTTTGGACGAACATTCCTCTTACCCTTCCTCACACTCTCAAAAAGAACACCTTCTCTCTCCCTTCTCTCTCTTTCCGCTTTCTGCGCACGCGTCTCAATACCGGACATAGATAGTTCAAATAAAAGAAACAAAACAGTAAATCACAAAGAGTAGAAGGTAGAACTCCTAGCCGGAGCGGTAATTCATTTGGACTTAGAGAATGGCATTCCCACAACATAATTAAATAATAATAAAAAAAACGAAAGAGAGGACTGACTTATCCAACGGGCCCGATTAGATTAGCTGGAGATCCCCTCGTGTCTAACCTGACAAGGTACATGTACCACAATAAATCAGCCGAAGAAAACTAACTGCAGCAATGGAGATTTCGAGGGGTGCAGACGGYCGCCGAGCCAGACGCGGGGCAGTATGTGAGAACATGCAGTAAGACCAGTCAAGATCCCCTTGAAAGGAATGCCCTTACTAGCCATATGTCCCCCAAATCCAGCACAGCAAAGAGATGCATTGACGGCAACAGATTTGGGGCCTAAAGGTCCTGTCCTGTTCGGCCCGGTCCCACTGAGTCCCGAAGGTCCCAAGTAGGTCGTGGACCAGGACCAACGAGATAGGTGTACCAAGTCAGTCCCAAACTGCCTCTACCGTACTGAAAAGGAAAAGACAACTTTCAGCAAGGACTTACCCCTACAGCCGTTCAGAAATGAAAAGACTTTGCACCATAGAAAGATATGTCATTGAGAAAAGATACATCATCCATCCATCCATCAGGTGAGAAAGCAATCCACATGCTCACACACACAACCAAGACCGCAGAGAAGAGGAAGAGAGCCCAACACACCCCAACAGGCCATGAAGCACCAAGCAACCTCCCACGGGCATAACCAGGTCACACGACACTTACCTGTGAGGCCCGGCCTCCAAAGATGGATAACGACTCACCACCCTCTCTCATAGGTCCTCCCGACCCCTAGCAACCACTACACGAAGTGGCCTAGCATGACTAAGGGGGCCTCCCTACACCCCTGTTACAACGCCGGATCCCCCGTCGATGTCTGAAGACCAAAGTAGCAACTTGCAGCTCTTCGATGCAGATATGGCAGCCTCCGATCAAGTCTMCCTCTTGAGGGGAAGCCCAAAAGTCACTCAATGTCTTCTTGAAGTGCAGATTCCAGGTGTGAGTACCTCTCACTCTCTACTCCCTCTCGCTTACTCCAATCAGCCTTCTATGTGTCTCGCCACCCCATCCAATCACTCAAGCAACCTGGTCATATCTGATGTCGACCCTACATGACCTAACCAGGTGGGGGCAGTATCCACACACCTCACTGCCCCTCTTAACCCTAACTTCCCAACCCTAATCCGAGATTAGGTTAGCCCTAACCTAATTCGGAATTAGGTTTAGGGTGACTAACACCTCTCGCCAGCAAGCAAGTCCGCTCCGATACCAATTGTTACGATCCTGGTCATTCCCAAAGTGCAAATTCACAATGAAAGACAATGCCACCCAATTGCGAAAGAAATGAAAGCACTTGCAAAGAGATAGAGACCAGAGGAGAGAGAAAGAAGAAGAAGAAGAAGAAGAAGAAGAAGAAGAAGAAGAAGAAGAAGAAGAAGAAGAAGAAGAAGAAGAAGAAGTACACCAGCAAGACCAATGACGATTCCCCCCTTCTCTCTCCACCTTCCTCCTCCTCCTTCACTTCGCCAATCTTGTTCTTCTCCCAATAATAATAATAACCATGAGTGGGTGAACCAGAATCAATATCCGAAGTTCCCTCTTACTGCTGACTCAACAACAACAACAACAACAAGTCCACCATAGCTATGGCTTCCCTCCTTCCTC